CAGGAAGAAGACATATGACCCTTAACATCACATGTTCACAACTTCACATGCATGCATGGTGGATGCATTCTTTTTTTCTTTATCTTCTCTGTCTTCTTTCTTATTTTTCTTTGTTTTGATTATTTAATCAAATATCCCAATAAGTATGCCTCTCTTTCTCTCAAAAAAATGTATTATCTCTCTCTTCCAAAAAAAATCATGTACATGATCAAAGAACGAGAAAGTTACATTTGTCTGTATTTTTTCAAGATATATAGAGCATGGAAAGTGATAGAGAAGCAAAAAATAGCCCAAAAGGAGAAAAAAAGAAATTCCTTACCCTCGCTCCAATCGCCAACACTCTCATTGGAAAAAACTCATCAACAAACATAATTTTAAGCTCGTTCGTCGTGCAACGAAGATCCGACTCTCTACTTCTAAAAGCTATCATCACAAAACTGCTTCCACTGGTTCGAGTCCAGTACGTGTGCTCCAAGCTGCTCCTCGTTACCAATGATCAACTTGCGGGGATATTAGGAATAGTAGATGTATTATGAAATAGAATATTATATTCATTACCTTCCTTATTACATTACTTTCTTATTGTATTGTTACTAGAATTCTTCTCATACTTATATTAGAATTCTCTCTTGTAATATCCCTCTACATAGGGATGTATCTTTCAATATTCAATAAAACATATTGTTAACAAATTGTATCAGACTTAGATTTATTAGTACTATTAGAATACACTATTACTAGCACTTTTAAGCAATACAATTACTACTATACCGAGTAAATAAATGTAAATATTTTATTATTATTTTTGAAGTAATAACAAATAAATTGAATAATATTAAATATAGAACAAAAATTACAAACATAGCACAAACTATCACAAACAACATTATAGAAACAACACCAAAAAGTTAAACTACGGTTACTAAACTAGGCTATTAGAGAAGCTTAGATCTACCTCACCTTGGTCTTGCTATTAATAAAAGCATTGACAAATACTGAGTATATTTTATTATTAGAGTATAAGAAACAAAACAAACACAATGTAATAGTATACTTTTATGTTGTCCCACTATTGTACGGAGTATCATTTAGATTCAGGATGGGGCTGGTTTGAGAAAAAAATGTATTTTTAATTAAATCGTATAATTTTAAAATGGTACCGGAATATTTCGGGACTGGTCAATGAGAACATGTTTCATGGCCACCCCTACAGGTTCCGTGTAAGAGCGCATAGAAAGATTTCAAAATTTATGTGTGAGTAACTCTTACCGTCTTACGTATAATTAAGACATTGGACTCACATAAAAGAACTTGAAAGCCCTCAAAGGGGAATCTTAGGATAAAGACTTTGTTGCCTAGTGAGATAGCTTAGGCCAATTTAGACCTACCTCGTGAGAAAATTTAAGAAAGTGCCTCTCAGAAATAGGACTTAAAGAGGCATCTCTTGGGGAGAGGACTTAGGAAACTACTTCTCAAAGAGAGAGATTATAGAGGATATAAGAAAGTATCTCTTCAGGAAAGAACTTAGAAAAGTGTCTACCGGGAGAGGACCTATAACAAAAAGGTGATATGATTATATTACTCCGTACTTTATTAAATGAATAATAAAATAAACAAAGATAGTAAATAAAATTTTAAGTAAATTCTATAAAGGGTCCTTTATAATAATGATTTTTTTACATATCGTTATGTATTTCAAAATACGTAGTACTATGTTTGTGGTCTTCTATAATGGAAAAACTATTACACGATTGATCTTTTGTGAACTACATGTAAAAATTTATGGAGAATGCTCGGGGAAGCTTACTTTGCACACCGAAGGTAAACACACACATTTATTATTTGTACGACACAAACGATAAGTGTCAGTATTCATGTAACACCCCAAAATATACCCTAAAATTTATTGAATAAAATATTCAATTAAACAAAATTTGTTTTGATTAAAATAAATTATTATTGAGATTTGGGCCAATGTAAAATATGTTTTGATATCCAATATCAAAATCCGAATAAGTCTCATAAAGATAAATACAACATGTTGATTTCTAATGTGATCTCGATTGGGAACCTGTGTACAGACCCAAATTAAGAATAAATGAAGAAATTGTTGTGATATGAACTTTGAAATAAATTCTTTAAATAAATTATGAGAATAAATTAATTGTGAGAACCTTGTATGATAAAAGTCAATTAAACCAATTTTGACTCTGTCCAAGTCAAACACCCAAAAATATGATGTCGGAAAAAATATTACAGAAAAATATAAAAGTTATATTGTTGGATAGAGTTTGATTGTAAGATCGCAACGGTACAAACGGATTTCAATTCGGAGAAAGTTGGACCAAAAAGTGGTCCCCGACTGGGACCAATTTAGTCCCAATCAAGGACTTGCGTTTACAGCCTGTAGAAATCAGTCGTCTGCTCCACTGAGATGCCAAAACAAGAGAATGGAGGTCATCACCGTGTCCTCTTCCTCTTCACTTGACTATATAAGGACCATCTCCATTCCTTCAATTCCTCACCAATTCTTACAAACTTTCTATCTATTCTGTTGCTGGGAATAAGGAGAACGCAGTGGTGCTGTCGTATTGGTGTGAGGTCGCCGGAAGTTTCGCTGGAAAATCTTCAAAACCTCCATTAAATTTCGAGGTAAGCCCGTAGATATATGTAGTGACTAGAATGTTCGTATAGATCGTTTCTACGTTCATAAACGGTCGTTTGGTTGAGTTTTGTGTTTGACATGTTTGAAGAACTAAGAATCTTAAACCTTGAATTTGGTGTTAAAATTATGATTTAATGATTCCAAAAGGATCTATGAACCTTGGAGAACATCCCTATATAGTTTAATTGAAGTTCGGTGAGTAAAAATGGTATTTCCGAAAAATAGACCGAAGGTTGAAGAAGATGAACAGTAGCTGAAAAGTAGCAGGATGGATCGATCATATCAGTTGGATCGATCACCTGAGCATTTCTTTTAAAGTCTGGATCGATCCAGACTACTGGATTGATCCCCCGAAACTCTGATCTGAAAATTTGTCCGAAAATGCTATTTTTGAGCTCTAAAATCCTATTTTGATAGCAATTGATTATGATCATTATAACAATGATTTACCACAATAAAAATGATGTTTTTAACAAATAAAAATGTTATGTGATGCATGACGGTAAGTTTGGGTGTTAACATCCGAAGCTAGGCCGCTATTTGCTATCGAATGATATGTTGATTGATGATTATGATGAATGATTATTATGATGGTTATGACTTCATGAAACCATTGATTAAAATGATTATTGAGGATTAAATTATGAATATGTTGATGATTATGTTGATGATTATGAAATGATTTGGATTGTAAGAATATCTAGAAAAACTCTAAGATATACCCAGGTTGACGTTGGTTTCTAAGACTATCTAGAAGACCTCTAAGCTAGATAGCTTAGAAATAGGCCTTGCGGGTATAATTATGAATATTTAGTGGCCTGGGTTAAAACGTACGTACGGGATCTACAAACCAAACTAGAGGAACTCGTTTGGGGATACCACCCAACCCGACAGTGAGCATTCTGCTGTTCGGTTTTTGGATGACCTTAAGCGAAGGTAAGTTTAAGATTTTGAAAACCTCTTTTTGAAAATTTGTATCTTAAACTAGGTCTAGCTTAAGGGTTAGTTAAGAGTACCTTAAACTGGAATATAGTTTAACTATATTAAACTAGAATTCGTTTAAGAGTTGGTAAACATAAGAGAGATTGGCCTTACTCTAAGAATAGTTTAAGGATATTGTTGAATGACAAATGATGAATATTGTATGACGAATGGTGAATAAAAATTCTGAATATGAATGATGAATATACATGTTGAATGATTGAATAATGAATTTTGAAAATTGAATATTGAACTGAACATTATGTGCATGATATCAAATGATTTGATTATGAATTGAGATTCTGTTTATATGAATGTTCGACGCATTAGATATGCTTACTCAGCTTTACCGCTGAGCGTGTAGTATGTTTTATTTGCTACACGCAGGTAATAGAAAGAATGATGTGACGTGATCCTGAAGGCAGACGAAGGCGAGATTGTCGGAATGGATGTGATGGTTTTGAATTATGTTTGTGATTATGATTTGTTAAGCTTCCGCAATATTGTTGAATACTCCGTACTGTATATGTTATGAAAAATATTATTGTGATAAATAAAAGTGTTTGAAAAGTTTTAAATTTTCACGATTACCAAGTTAAATACTTTAGTCCGAAGGGGGCTGCAGACCTGGACGAATTAGGGTGTTACAATTCTCTTTGGGGTAAAAAGTGAGGTTTTCTAAGCTTTATTAAAAAAAATATTTGAGATTTTTTTCGATCCAAAAAACTTTTCATTTCTAAATATATAGAATCACAAATATTATATTTTTAAATAGAATGCTATAAGTGGAAAACCCCCTAAATACTCTCTTTAGAATTCAGCTTATGAAGTTGTTTGTAGTAAGTTCTAAATTTTTCCAATAGTTACTTCAACCTAATGACACACAGTGATACAATGTCTTAGCCCTCCTTCTTTCCAACAAAATCTTGCGATGTAAACTTCTTACAACTCAAGTCAAAGGACAAGATCTATTGTAAACTCTAAATTGATAGGGAAGTTCTAACACAAACTAAAGTACACATTGTATTTGTTTCGTTTGACATTTTTGAATCAAAATAAATCAACAATGAATCTTAATGAAAAAAGAATGATAATATATATTAATATGAAAATAACACGTATTTCATTAGATTTAACCTGTCGAGAATTACTAAAATTTTATTTTATTGTATTAATATAAAAATAAAATTAAGAGTAATGACTAATTAAAATTTGTATATTTTAACAAGAAAAGGTAGACAAAGACACACCTTTGTTTTACATGTTCACAAAAGAATTTGCCAAAAATATACTGCACTCAATCCATAAAATTTACCTGTGCATCATCATCATCTTCATCAGCCGTGATTCGCTGCCGCACCCCCTTTCAGCTTGCTCTTACACTCGACTATACTTCCATTTATATTTTATGTCGTGAATTTGGTTTCCCGTGTTTTGGTATACTTCCTCTCGGAATCCAAAATACTTGAAAAATTCATATGCGCGCTTGCAGCGTTGATGCAGCTCAAGTTTTCGTTTCTCTTCCAGATTTGTCGAGGGATTCCTCATACGAATAGTCGATACATTATTCTTATCTGGTGAAGTGAAAGATCGGATCGGTGCTTATTTTTATGGTGATACAATTGATGGTTTCTCTGTCCTAGGGTTTAGTGCTTGCTTTGCCGGAATTTTGTTGGATTGGGCGGTTGGCTACGGCTGGAGCTTGGAGATTGTGATGGATTCTTATAGGCCATTCCATCCGCCGTCTCAATCGACGTTTGTCTCGCCACAGCCGCCGAATCAGAATCACATACGGCCGCATCTGCCAACATCCGTAGGGCAGCCGCGAGGGAATCACCCTTCTCAGAATAATTGGGGGTATGGTAGTTACCAGCAAGTAAATCCCTTTAGCGGTGGTCCTCTTCCGCCGCCGCCGCCTCTGCCTCCACAGTCTACTCAGCAAGAATTGCAATATCAGTATCCGCCCCCGCCGCCCCCGCCAGATTCTTCATACCCACCACCGCCGCCACCGCAGCCTGCTCCTCCAGCTCCANGCCACCTCCTCCCCCATTGTCTCCTCCCCCTAGTTCTGTGATTCCTCCTCCTCCGCCTCCTTCTTCACCCCCTCCACCCCCTTCATTAGCCCCCCCTGCTCGTCAAAGCAATGAAATCCGGATTGCTACTGAGAAAGCACCTTCCAAGGACGGGATTCCATATAAGCAGAAACCTCCGGTTCCTCAAATCCAAGTGAAGAAGGCAAACGTTCATCCTGGAAAAGTTGAAACAGAAGAAGAAAGGAGGTTGAGAAAGAAGCGAGAGTATGAAAAACAAAGGCATGAAGAGAAACATAGGCAGCTATTAAAAGAATCCCAGAACAAGGTGCTGCTGAAGACCCAAATGTTAGCTTCTGGGTTGAAGGGTCATGGCTCTATTAGTGCCTCCCACATGGCTGACAGAAGAAATACTCCTTTGTTGAGTGGAGAGAGATCTGAAAACCGGTTGAAGAAACCAACTACATTTCTTTGCAAGCTGAGGTGTGTATATTGACGTGTTAGCTCAGATAATTCATTCAATCTTTTCATTGTTCTTTGGGTTTTAGATGCATGCCAGTCTGAGGACATTTTTTCATCATACTTCAATAGGAAATAATTAGGGCTGTGTTCAGACACGCAGTTGTATTTTTTCCTCTGATGTCTCCTTATTCATACCTCAAAAAGGAAGATTTGCACATGATGCCCACTTAATTACTGCCCCTTATTGTGCTACACTGAGCTGGCAACCGGTGTTGTGGTAAATTGCATGAAAAAAAGAATGGCAAAGTTGCAACTTTAACATGCTTGATAATGTTTTTAAAACTGTTTTTTAATAGGTATCTAAATATTATTGCTTTCTCTCATTATCTACTGTTGATGGTGCTTAAACATTCATGTGGTTTTCTTTTGGATGCAGGTTTCGAAATGAATTGCCAGATCCAACAGCACAACCAAAGCTTATGTCTTTAAGAAGAGACAAAGATAGGTAGGCAAACTTTTATTTCTTTTCATTCTTCAGGCTTGCTTAAGTTCACTTCCCACACACTGCACTCAATTGAGCTGTAATAATGAAGAAGGTTGAAAGAGGCCAAAAAACAGCAGGTGCCAAATTTTCATATCGATATACCAAACACATGCAGTTGTCCACTTGTCCTATATTAAGAATATTCCTGGACTATATCTTTAAGTATAAATGATGAAAAGCTTAGAGCTTTCTGTCCAAATACTATAAAAGAAAGTTTGAAATAAAAGCTTGTCTAATAGTCATTATTGACAATGTTTTAGTTTCGGGCACATAATGGAAACAACCTGTCTTTATAGGGGTAATTTTATAAGGGTAGGAGTGTAAGACTGTGCACATCTTGACCCAATGGAGTTGGGAATATACTGGGTTGTTTATGCAACTCCACACTATTTATTTCTCCAAATGAAGATATAAGAATAATCATTGCTTAAAATATGCTACTCTGGGAGTACTTTGTAATCCTTGAGTGGATTTTGATGGTGTGATCTTTGGTTTTCTTCTCACCAAGTGCTTTAGCTTTTCATAAGTACAGGCTATATTTGCATTTTTTTGTCTGGTGCTTTAAGGCGAGAAGGTTATGTATGCAGATTTACCAAATACACAATCACTTCTTTAGAGAAAGTGCACAAGCCTCAATTATATGTTGAACCAGATCTTGGGATTCCACTTGACCTACTTGATCTCAGTGTATATAAGTATGTTTCTTCTCCTTTTGTACTTACCTTCTCAAACTGCTGGCTTGATAATCTACATCGCTTCCAGTTCTCACTAATTGCTATTTGGTAGCCCTCCAAAGGGTGAAGTGACTCCCCTGGATCATGAGGATGAGGCCTTGTTGCGTGATGATGATCCTGTAACTCCAATCAAGAAAGATGGCATAAAAAGGAAAGATAGGCCAACTGACAAGGGTGTTTCTTGGCTAGTAAAAACACAATATATTTCTTCTCTAAGCACAGATTCAACAAAACAGGTAATATTACTGTTATGTAGACACTTTCCTATAAATAATGTCAAACTTCAGCTTATTTTGTTTTCAATGCCATATGTAGTCTCTGACTGAAAAGCAAGCTAAGGAATTACGTGAAACCAGAGGAGGCCGCAACATTTTGGAGAACCTTAGTACCAGGTTACTTCCCATTAATTTTTCTTTTTCTGTCAATATACTGTAAGGCATAAAGAGACCCAAACATTATTTTACGACATACCCAATATGTATTTTCAGGGAAAGACAGACACAACAAATTAAGGCTTCTTTTGAGGCATGCAAGTCACGACCAGTTCATGCAACCAATCCGAAGTTACAGCCTCTTAAGATCCTTCCCCTTTTGCCTGATTTTGATAGGTAAGTTTTCCCTTCTCCTACTAAACTTTTGTTTACTTGCCTACTTGACAAGGTTTTGCAAGTCTCAATGACTCAACCCATTTTGCAATTATAGCAAGTTTAATTTGAGATTGGTAGATAAAAACTCATTTTATTTATGTATGTCTACATAAAGAACAAGAAAACTAGATAAATGTATGCCGAAAATTTAAAACTAATGATATTTGATTTTCCTATTCATTTTCGATGTTTAAATAGAACATATGAAGATTACTTCTCTCGGAAAATTTTCATTTCCCTATCATTTTCTTTGATCTAAACAAACCCTAGGGGATGAATGGAATCATCATATGACATTTGTAGATTTCTGCTTTTGTTTTGGCTGTAGTATGCAGTTATATTAAAACAGGACCGGGCGGTCGGACCGGGAACCGGGCACCAAACCCGTCCGGACCAATGCCTCAAAAACCAGGGTTAAAATCGGAAAACCCTGGGAAGTGGCCTCAACGCCGGTTTAATGTACGGTCTGGGTTAAAATTATTGGTAAAATGTAAATAAAAACTACATACAATAATATAGTTTCTGTGGACCTTTCTTTCATGGGTGTAGAAGTAGAAGATCAACTTACCCAACATGCCTGCATATCTTCCATGCGTCTATTTTGAAGTTTTATTGTTTAATAAAATATTTCCTCATACAGGTACGATGACAAGTTTGTGGTTGCCACCTTTGATAGTGCTCCTACTGCTGATTCAGAGAATTACAGCAAGCTAGACAAGGCTCTTCGAGATAAACATGAATCTCGTGTAAGATGGGTTGTAGGCTTGAAGCAAACCATGAATACACACACATCATTTTGCCGTAAAATCTGACGCTCCATATCTCTTAATGCTCTGCAGGCAATTATGAAAAGCTTTGTTGCTAGAAGCTCAGATGCCACTAAACCTGATAAATTCCTGGCATATATGGTCCCTTCACCTGATGAGGTTAAATTGCCCTCATAAATTTTCAAGGTTTAATTTACTTACCTTTTAACCTCAATCGTCACTCAATGAACTTGTTTTTATTTGACAGCTAGAGAAGGATATGTTTGATGAAAATGAGGATATCTCATATACATGGGTCCGCGAATATCACTGGGATGTATGTACCATTTAAACTTGTAACTTCCAAGTTATTTTCTTTGTTTTACATATGTTATTCTTTTTTGCATCAACAGGTACGCGGCGATGACTCAGATGATCCAACCACATTCCTTGTGGCATCTGACAAATCAGTGGCACGCTACATGGTAAAAATATTACACTTTGTATAAAGTCATGTTTTAAAGAAAAACTTATTTTTTTAGTGATTTTAATGTAATTCCACACAAATAGTATCCAAACTGTTTTAATCTATAGAATTGTTGAAGAAACAAATAACTTAAGAAAATATTACCCCGTCTAATAGTATGATTGATAATTTACGTCTTTACCCGAGTTAATCCTTTCCATAATCTAAAACTTGCACATTGTTTCATGAAGATATTCATTTCATGTATTATTAGTAAGGTGCAACTATTGGAAATGATCAACCATGGTTAGATTTTTAAATTTATTTCTTGGTTCAACGATATTGATCATACATAACTTGAATGGGACCTTTATTTTAATACTCTGTTTCAAAATATTGAATATAATGAAAATTAGCTTTTGTTTAAATATCACATATTTGGGACAAATACGCTTTCAAACGTAACTCCTTTATTGGGACCAAAGGAGTATTTCACGTTATCTAAAGCTCACATTGTTGTGCTGTTATGGACTGCTAACATTTTTATGTGCAATGCTAATGTAATCAGCCGGTTCCCACAAAACTCACATTGAGAAAAAAGAGGGCTCGGGAAGGAAAATCAAGCGACGAAGTAGAACAGTTTCCAGTACCTGCAAGAGTGACAGTAAGGAATAGACAAACAGTGGCTGCCATTGAATTGAAAGATGAAGGGGTATGACTTCTGACACTTTAATCTATTGTCTCATTCTTTACCTGAGAAGGGTAAAAGAAATGCCAGTATATATATATATATATATTTCAAAAGTAAAAAAATGTCATTGTTTGGGGTTTCTTGGGCAATGCAGGAGTATTCAAGTTACAGGGGGAGTGGTATTTCAGACAAGAAGAGAACAAAAATTAGCTTTGAAGATGGGTTACATTCTGAGAAAGGTATACATGAAAGTGATGAAGACCAATATAGTGGTGGGGGTGAATATGAGTTGTCTGATTCATAAATATTTTTTTAGTACACAATGCGATAACACCAATGCAATGAGAGTAGAGCCACAAAAACTACAGATTAGTTAGATGAGTTTTCACTTTGTATGTTTGTAAGATGTAAAAAATTTCTCCAGTTTTAACTTTAATGTGATTGATCTGATGACGGATAATGGCCTTATAAACTACTCTGTATTTTAAAAAAAACTTAGTATTTCCCCGGTCTGGATTTCATTTTTCATTTTTGGACGTTTGAATTTAATTGTCGAATTTATTTATTTTTATTTATTTAGTAATTTAGAAATTGCAAGTTATGAAAATATTCTGATATGACATGTTAGACCCCTACACGGCTACACTTGAGTTTGGAATATTCCTTATATTGGAACTATTTTGAAAAATGAAAAATCAAATCTAGACAGGAGTCACGTTCTTCTTAAGTTCTTAACTATTTTTCCCTATAATGATTAATAGATGACTTTATCCCAAGACCCAACTTCTTAAGTTCTTAGTGGGAAATTAAAGATTAATAAGAATGTTTACAACCGAATAGTTTTGTTGCTTTTGGCACATAATCATTTTAGTGTTTGGAAGTAAAAGGCTTAAATAATCATTTTTAGCCATTAGTATTCTACATATTTTTTATTTTAAACAATTTTACAATTTTGTCCCAATTAACATTTTTTCACCCTAAACAATCAAAAGCATTTAGCAAAAATTATATTTTTACATAAAAACACCACATTTTCACTTGAATAGTTACTTATCCCACAAAAGCGAAAACAAAAATTTACTTTTTTTCTTCAAAACACTCCCTACAAACAGAAATGAGCTGACCTTCACTTTTGTTTCCTCTATCAAGATTCAACATTGCATTCACTTCACATTTTCATTCTCATGAAGATGAAACATTAGAGTACAAGCTTTTTCTACACTTGTGGAAAAGGAAAGGTAAACTTCTCCATACTGCATGGCACCTTCATTCATCAGAAGAAGCCTCATCCAGCCTGTCCAAAAACCCCTTATGCAGATTCATCTTCTGCATAGCAGGCAATGGATCAAAGCACGTTGCACGTGTAGACGCTGCTTCAAACTTGGTCCACAGTTCTCTCTTCAAAGTGTTCTCACCCGGATGATGACGTTGTTTCCCTGTCTTAATACAGCTCTCGGGTTCTTTTGCCATGGGAGTGCAGCTTTCAACAAATTCACACACTCTACCAACTTCTGTCACATTCGGAGAAGAGTAAGTGTTAAAGAGTTCCTTTTTTGTACCAAAAAAATTGCATAATGCTTGCAAATTCTTCAGATGAGTAAATTTTTTTACCTCGGGCATTATTGCTCCTCGGCAACAAGTTTTTCTGATTAGGATTGGGAGCAGTTAATGGAACCGAACAGTCTCTGGGTGCAGCATCCTCTTGTGGTTTCAAGAGAGCACATGTTTTGGGAGGAGACCACTTTGGTGATTCTTCGGCTAACTTCCATCTGTTCTCAAACTTATTTCCCAGTTTAATCCCAAAGAGTTCGGGATATTTCACATTAAGATCATCCGAGGGTTCTGAATCTTGAGATCCATCTGAGGACTCCACTGCAACTGGATATGGAGTTGATTTACGAAACTTAAGACTGCCTTTACGATATTCCGACACAGGTTCAAGCACTACACATGACTTGGGTGGTGATACTTTCAAGCAAGGGGTCATTAGTATGTAGGACTTCTCTGGTTTCACACTACCAAGCATATTATTGTTGCCCACGTCCAGGATTTCTTCAAAAACTGAGGGCATCTGAGCTATTTGCTCCGTTCTAATCTCCTCAAATCCCGGTTTAGATGATTCCTTGAGTTTGGATAAAAATCCATTAGGTTGTTGATGCAAAGGGGTAAGGAGAAAGAGTTGTCTTTCACATTCAGAAATGCAATCTCCACGCCAAGAAACTAGTGGTGATGAACAAACCAATGAGTCCCATTTATACTGCTCAGGACTGTCTGCAACTTTGTTACTTGTAGGCGGTGGCGGTTCTGGCATGTTTTCAGAGCCAGAAGGGTCAGAAAGTGATTTCTGGAATCTAGGAACCCATTGCTGCAAATGTTCACACAAGAGGCAGATTTTAAGTTTCGGGCAATACCAAAACTAGATGAATACATTTAGAACAAACCTTCAAAGATGCTTGCATTTCAGACAGGAAATCTGCAAAAGAGTTGATTTCCTTCATTTCTTTCTTGCTCTGTAGTGCTTGCACAACAAGTTCATCGATCTGCATTAATACTGAGAAATGTCAAAACACTGAAAATGCATATAATCACTAATAGAAAGGGCACCATTCTACACGAAAAAAGGATTTTGAGTTTTAATAAAATGAAATATAAACGTATTCACCAGAAATGGAAATTTGACCTAAAAAGTGATAAAATATGGTGCCTTCTGAACTCCGACGAAAAAAATTAGGGATTTCGTAGAATACTGAAACGGAATCCATAGAATTTAACAAAATCAATTGGACAACAGCATCTCCCGATCTCAAACGAATCAAACTCAACAGCCTAATTGCAATTCCACTGAACGATTTATACCTGTCCGACGATGGAGGAGAGTTCGGAGTGAACGAGAAGAAGACGGTCAAGGGAGTTATCGGGAACGGCGGCGTCTTCATGCTCTTTCTTCCCAGGCGGCTTCAGCTTGGTCTTAGTGGATCTGGAGAAATCTCTGGCCCCATTTTTGGAGTTGGAGATGCTACGTAATGGCATTCTAGTCGATTTCGTCCTCGCCGTCGATTTGCAGACGCCGGCGTGCTTCTGCATTTTTCTCTTTCTACTGCGGCGATTTCGAATTCTGCTCTTTGTGTGGTTTCTCCCCTTATTTTTGAACTGGTTGCCTTGTAGCCGTAGGCTTGTAAAAAGAAATATAGAAAAGGAAAAATTGTCCAAAACAATTCTAACTTTAATTGGTCTTTAAAAAATAATCTTACCTTTCAGTGTGATGCATACTAATCTCAACTTTACTGAAATTTGCGAGTTTTGGGTCGCCGTTAAGTTTCTAAGGGCGAGTTAACGGAAATGCCTATTTTGCACAACAAAATGAAAGTTGGGATTATTTTTGATGAATTTTCATTTTTTTTAGTTTTTCATTTAAAATTTTAAAATTAGTTTCTACCTCCATCATTTCTTTTTCCCATTTTAAAGATTAGTCTTATTTTAAAAAAATAAAAATAATAGATATTAAAAAAATAAAAAATTGAGAAATGTAACTAAAATGATACGGAGTACAAAATAATAAAACAAATAAGATAATTTATAGAAACTAACTTGAAATTGGTAATAAATAAAATAACAATATACGGAGTGGTGGGTTTTAATATTTTACGCACTATACAAAGTATTAATGTATCGCTTCTTATTTTTTAAAAAACATTATCTTGAATAATTCTAACTTTACCGGACGGCTTGTTCTTTTAAAAAATAAGTTGTACATTAAGACTCTGTATAGTGTGTAAAATGTTAAAACCCACCACTCTGTATATATTTATTTTATTTCTTATCGGTTTCAGTTTAATTTCTATAGATTACTCCGTACAATATTTCTTTCATTAATTGTGTATGGTTTTAGTTATTTTTTCTCATTTTCATTGTTCTTTATACCTAATTTTTTTATTTTTTCTAAGGTAAGAATAATCTTTAAAAAAAAAAAGAAATGGTGGTAGGAAGTAATTTCAAAACCTTAAATGAAAATTTAAAAAAAATTAAAAAAACAAAAATTCATCAAAAATAATCTCAACTTTCATTTTGTTGCGCAAAACAGGCATTTTCGTTAATCCGCCGTTAGAAACTTAACGGTAATCCAAAACTCACAAAATTCAATATAGTTGAGATTATTATGCATCACAGTGAAATGTGAGATTAATTTAGAAAGATCAGGTAAAGTTGAGATTATTTTGGATAATTTTTCCAATAAATGTGGGATGAAGAAAAGATGAGAAAAGAGGGAGAGAATATGTAATACTCCCTCAATCATAAAATGTAAGCAATACTCCGTATTACGTTAAACGAAGTAATTTTTTAAATTTATTTTATTTAAAAAACGATCTACAAATAAAAAATAAAACATACATATTTAAAAACTACGTAAAAAGTTCTACAAAACAAATGATGACAATAATATTTTATTTTATCAAATAATCAATGAAAACGTAAAAATAAGTAAGAGTTCATGTGATTTTTAAATACTAAAATGTTACTTACATTTTGGGACGGAGGGAGTAAAAGAGAGTTAAAAAAGGAAAAGAAATAAGCATAAATGTATTTCAATCCATTTTATTTAGGGCAAGAAAGGTTTTCATGTGAGTTCCACTACTTCATTCCATTTCTTTTTATTTTCTTTTTAAAGGTGATTTTGAATATATAAAAAAACATAAAGACCCTGACCCACACATGGTAGAAGAGCGCATTAAGAATATAGATTTTCTTTGGTGCCTTTGTAATTGAGAGGACATCTATGTGCCTCCGTTCATTAGATGACATTTGTACTTTTAATGATATCTAATAATCTAAAAATTTAATTAATAAGTTTCTATTAATTGTTAAAAACTGTTAAATAACCTCAATTTCTCGGAAAGTTTGCATAAACTTGCCCAGTTTTGTCTAATTGATTTGCAATACTATTACTCCATATTACTTATTCTTCCGATCCCTAAATAAACTTCCTCTTTCGTTTTTTATTTTTTCCCAAATAAACTTCTCTTTTTCCCTTAAAAACCCCTTTTACCCCTTACTTTTTCATACCCAACCTATCACATCATACTTTTTTACTAATAATCTACATATCACATTTTACGTTTACACATCACATCAAGAAGATTTTTGGAAAGTCAACACAAAAATATCCTTCCCTTCAATCCTTAAAAAGTCAAAAATGGAAGTTTATTTACGGACGGAGGGAGTATTATTTTATCAACTATTTCTCTTTTTTAAACATTTTCTAGATAATTATTAGTATTATTTTATTCAATAATTATTTTATTAATTATTTTAATTATTGTATTAATTATTATTTAATTTACTCACCATTTACTTTAAACAAATAATTGTTATTTAATTTTCTCAATCTCATTATTCTATGAGTTTTATCAATTAATTAATTACTTTTCATTAAAAAACAGAAAGAATTGAAAAAAACTAGAGAGAATTAAGAGAAAAAAGAGTTGGAAAATTTTGAAAATGTTAAAAGATGGGTAAGAATATGGAAAAATTGGAAAAAAGTTGAAAAATGTTCGATAAAAATAAAAAAAATTGAAATAAATATTACTCCCTTCGTCTCCAAATTAAATTTTTGTTTCAAACAATGTGCAAAATCTCATGTGATTAAAAATATTTTATTAATAAATTGGTAAGAAAACAAAAAGTAAAAAATTACATATATATTTTAAAGTATATCAAATTTTATATGAATATTTCATTTTATCTAATTATCAGTGAAAATATTTTTTTATAAGTTTTGAAAGTATTTTAATTTAATATTTCCTTCGTCTCTGAGTATTTGTTCCATTTTAACTTTTTTGGTCAAAATTGATAAATTTCGACCTCAAATTAATTAAAGTGATATTAATTATTTGATACAAAAAAGATTTTATTAGATTTATTATATAAAATATGTCAAAAATATTATTTTATCTAATTAATATACAATATATATTTTATTTAATTATAAGTTAAAGACCAAAAATTATTGAATGAAAAAGGTCAAAACTCGACAAAACACTCAAGGATAGTGATATTATTATAACTATTATTACTTGTCTTATTGTTATTATTATTATATGGATTATTATTTTTATTATTATTATATTATTATTATTATTGATATTTTTTAGTTTTATTATTATTACTATTAGCACGTATTATTATTTGTTTTTGTTATTATTATTTTGTTTATTTATTTCTCTTATTTACCCTGTCATTTATATTTAGGCTCTGTTCAATTGAGCTCAAAGGCCACATTCTCTTCACGAGATCTCATTAATTCTGATTTGATTAAAATAAGTTATGATCTGATCTGAATGTACTCATACTTAAAATTATTTTCGATCTGGTTTGATTTAATCTGGTTTCAATAAGAAAAATAAATAAGTATCAAGAAATAATTCAAGAGTACATGCAATGGCCTAACTCTTGACTTTTTATATTTTCTAATTTCTTATCATATCCTCCAATCTATTTAGGTTTCTTTTAACTAATAACAGTTTCTTCTAAATTCTTTTACGGAGTATTTTTTTCAATAATCACCTAAATGTTTTACTTAGGTGTATTATTCATATAATCAAAATTATTGTATTTGTTATTTGTATCATCATCAAGGTGAATAAAATAATACTATCGCCATCCCTGAGTGTTTTGTCGAGTTTTGACTCTTTCCATTCAATAATTTTCAGTCTTTGACTTATAATAATTAAATAAAATATATATTGTATATTAATTAGATAAAATAATATTTTAGACATATTTTATATAATAAATCTAATAAAACTTTTTTTGTATCAAATAATTAATATCACTTTTATTTAATTTGAGGTCGAAATTTATCAATTTTGACCAAAAAAAGTCAAAAGTGAATAAATACTGAGGGACAAAGGGACTATTAAATTGAAATATTTTCAAAACTTATAAAAAATATTTTCAATGATAATTAGATAAAATAAAATATTCATATAAAATTTTGATATACTTTAAAATATGTAATTTTATTTTTTATTTTCTTACCAATTTATTAATAAAATATTATTAATCACATGAGATTTTTCAAATGGTTTGAAACAGAAATTTAATTTGTAGAAGAAGGGAGTAATATTTATTTCAACATTTTTTTTATCAAACATTTTTCAACTTTTTCCAATTTGTCCATAATCTTACCCATTTTTCAACATTTTCAAATTTTTTCCAACTCTTTTTCCTCTTAATTCTCTCTAGTTTTTTTTTCAATTCTTTCTGTTTTTCAATGAAAAGTAATTAATTAATAAAACTCATAGAATAATGAGATTGAGAAAATTAAATAACAATTATTTGTTAATGTAAATGGTGAGTAAATTACATACTCCGTAATAATTAATAAAATAATACTAATAATTATCTAGAAAATGTTTAAAAAAAAAGAGAGAAATAGTTGATAAAATAATAAGTAATACGGAGTAATAGTATTGCAAATCAATTAGATAAAAGTGGGTAAGTTTATGCAAACTTCCCAAGAAACTGGGGTTATTTAACAATTTTTAATAATTAATGGAATCTTATTAATTAAACTTTTAGACTATTAGGTGTCATTAAAAGTACAAATGTCATCTATTGAATATCTATTGAATGGAGGGGCATGGATGCCCTCTCATTTACAAAGGGACCAAAGAAAATCCCTTAAGAATAATGGTCTGCAATATTTACGGTGTTGGCGCTACATTTTTTGAACTTTACGTTTAGGGGATTAACTAGTTAGATACAAAACGACTCAATTGTTCTTTTAAGCCCCATGTTAAAAATACTTATTATTCGCTAATAAAGTCTCGAGACGAACAAGATAATAGATTGGATTCGGAGTTTAGTATGGTTTAACTCAACTATGTTATAACCCACTTGACTGAGCTTTACCCAATCTTAATTTATATCACCTGTGGTTGAAGACCCCAAGGAAAGGTTTCTATTCAAACACATTCTCACGTGTAGACAAAACAAATTGTTCAT